GAAGACCAAATTGTAGAGTTAAAAACTTATTATAAGGTATATCATCGTAAACGTTGGGCTTATAAAAAGTTAATGAAACGATTCAAGAAAATCAAAATAATTGGTAACTCTTTTTCTGTTATATTTGCAACAGGAAGTATTGCTTCTGCTGTCACCACATGGAGGTATTTCAATAGTTGCAATATCAACAATCTCTGTTCTTATCCAGGGATTCATGGCTCATAAAAACCTCGATTTAAATGTTAAGAATTGTACCTATGCTTACAAAAGCTATCAACACTTGTTAGTAAGTATCAAAAATGTGTTGAGAGGTGGTGAATGTGATATCGATTAATAAGACAAATGATGAGCTACATCGATAACATAGTTACTTATCTAACACCTGATGCTGATAAATTATTGCTAAAATATGATTCGATATTTACTGATTGATGATTGAATCGATTTCGTCTCCGATCAGATTTAGTATTTGAGCCCAATACTGCATGCTCATATCGTTCAATATTCTTTTATGATTTTGAAGTTTGTATTTCATTTGGTGATAAATTCATCATATGAATTAGCTTACCAAGGATAAACTTTATCGATATCATTCGTTTTCTTAAAGTGTTTATTTGAGGTTGAACTTTTTCAATGAGATCAAAGACTTTTATAATTTTGTCGATGTGGTTTCTGGATATTTGAATGCGGGTTTCATCACAAATATTATAGATGATATCTTCTACATGGTATTTTCTGTTATAGACTGATTTTCTTCTGAATTTATACCGATTTTCATAGAAATCAGTGAACTTGGTATAATGTTTGAAATATTGACCGTGGACATGTCCACAATTAATACAAACAAGGAAACCATTTCCTAAACGAATATTTTGATTCTCAAAACATTTTTCTTTAACGGCTTCATTTTTTGGATAACTTCATCACAAAAAGGACAGTTATATACTTCAATTTCTATTAAAGCATCATGAATCTCTTTATTACAATCCATATTTTCTATACGTGAATTTTCTTTAATAGATTTTGAATTTTTGTCAGATATTTCATCCGCCATTTTGAATTTTGATGAGTCAGCAAGTTCATTGTTGAAAAGAACCAATCTGAGTTTACACAATTTTTTTACACAAATGTGTACACAAATTTGTTACACAAATGTGTAATTTTACCGTGAAAAAGTTGAAAATTGTGTAAGCTTTCATTGATTGTCACGTATCCATGGTATTGTAAGCGAACGTCCAACGTGCTACATGTTGTTTAATCGATTTTACGAAACGTACGATACAAGCGAAAGCGTTGCGAAGCGAGCGGTAGAAACGTTGTATGACTAGGACGGCTAGGAACACGAAAGACAAAAGCGGAGAAGACGGTAAGCGAACTGTATAAAAGGAAACGTAGCGATCAAAAAACACAAGTCAACTGAGCAAAAAACGCATGCAAAAGGGCTTTAACGAGACGAAATTATGCGAAAATACCTAACAGAATATTGATTACGTAAAAGGGAGAAAACAAAACACAAATAATGCGATAACGAGAGAAGAAAAATGTACGGTGGCCCATAGTGGAAAACCACAACTCATAATCTTTTCCGAAACACTAAAATCTTTTCTGAAACACAACAATCTTCTCTGAAACACAACAATCTTTTCTGAAACACAACAATCTTTTTTGAAACACAACAATCTTCTCGAGAACACAACAATCTTTACGAGAACAAAACAATATTTTCGAGAACACAACAAAAATTTCCAGTACACTAAAATCTTTTTCAGAACACAACGAAAATTCCTGATACACAACGATCTTTTTAAAAATACAATAGAATTGTCTGATACACAAACGCAAACTAAAACACAACAAAATCAAGTTAGGTGAGACACAAAATTTCAAAGTACTGGTAACTAACCCTGACGCTAAAAGCGACCGGAACCTTGGACTGGCCGTGGTCACATGGGCCCTTCGCTCTACACACCATAGTTCCTGCCACCCAGAAGGAATTAAAAGAGACTTCATAAAAGGGGAGACCCTTAGACTTCTAAGAACATACTCCTCTCAAACAATATTCGAGAAGAAAATTACAAATGAAGCGCATTTGCTAAAGAGAGGCTACCCAGAGGACCTCATTAGCACAACCCTCTCAGAAGTGAATTAAAAAACAGGAAATTAGCTCTTCAACAGAAACAAAAGACGAACCAACGAATCTTGCTTTTTGTTACACAATACCAACCATCGGTGCCAAACCTAAAGCAAATCCTCATGAGTCACTGGCATATAGAAACACAACCACTACTGAACGAAATATACAAAAATCCGCTTCTAGTATCTTACAAAAGAGGACGGTCGCCCAAAGACATACTCGTTAGGGCCAAACTTTGAATAGGCTACTCTAAACACGCGCTGGGAAGTCGTGTAGGCCTGTCAACCCCACTTTACATTGCGACCTTTAGATGCCGCAGATTTTGTAACATCTTCGTATCCTTTGCTACGATCTTCAGATTTGAGTCTAACTGGTTTTAGTATAGGCACATGAATGTCTTACAACACACAAGAAATGAGGGAAATTTGTGTCTCAAGCAAAATCGACCGGACCGCTCTTACAGAGACACTCTCTTAAATAGGTTCGGGTGATTTTAAATAACTAACTGGTTTCAAACAATCTCCACCGTTTTCTTCACACTTTCTCGTTCGTAAACTATATTAATTTACGTTTTCATATTCCCAGTTATTTGGTTGAACTACCGCAACAAGCAAATTGTGCTGAGATGGAAATGCCAAAGGTCTCTTTGGAGTTCACAGAGGAAGAAGGCAGTGATTCCCACGGCTACGTGAGGTAAAATAATCGCTGCAAGTAATAATCTTTTGATTTACCGCCTCGTAGTTAGCTCAATTGGTAGAGCGCCGGACTGTTGGGTGGAAGGTCGAGGGTTCAAGCCCCGGCCGGGCCAACACTTAGGGTCTCAAAAATAACTGAGGATAGTTTGCTACCTTTCTAAAATATCAAGAAATGGATAGATATTCTAGCCCTCTCGGATAAGGACGAATAAACCGTAGGCCCCCGTCTCCTGCAGGGTTAGGGGTATGAGATGTTAATTTCCTACGCACGAGATAACTCTACATGTGTAGTGGATGTCCACCCCTTTATTGGTGTATTGGTGTATTAGTGTGGTAGGTGTAGTTTGGTGCAGTAGGTGTAGTTTGGTGTGGCAGGTGTAGTTTAATGTGGTAGGTGTAGTTTAGTGTTGTAGTTGTAGTTGAATGTATTAGGTGTAGTAGGTGTAGTTTGGTGTAGTAGATGTATTAGGTGTAGTTTGGTGTTTTACTACACCAAACTATACCTAATACACCAAACTAGACCAACTGCACGAAACTATACCTATTACACCAAACTACACCGACTAAACCAGACTACAACAAAATACACCTACTACACCAAACTACACCACCTACACCAAAATAGACCAAACTACACGTATTACACCAAACTACAGCAAACTACACCTACTGCATTAAACTACACTAAACTACACCTACTACACCCAACTACACCTACTACACAAAACTACACCCACCACGCCAAATCACACCAATCTAGACCTACTGCACCCAACTAAACCTACTACACCTACTACACCAAACTGCATTTACTACATCCAACTTCAGCTACTACATCAGACTACACCCACCACACCGAACTACACCTATTACACTAAACTACACCTGCTACACTAACCTTACACAACGCTAATCACGCATGTGATTAGCGTTGTTTAAGACGGGAGGAGAGCCTAAAAGTGACCTGATACGTACACCTTCTTAACAACCATAAGCAAGACTGGTTTTAAATGCTTTTAGTCTTTTAGTAATCTCTTTTTCACCATGAAGTTGAAAAATCCAGGAATTAAAAAGGCCTTTCTAAGATTCGACGAGGCAGTTACTATAACAAAGCAGTTACTATAGGCCTATCCGCACTAGAGAAAAAAATGTTTATTTAGAAAAATTTTCTGTCATTACCAACACTTTACCAGTGAGTAGTATAGGACTTGGGGCTCTCAGACCAAAACACCAAAAATGGTAAAAAATCAAGCTTTACCAAAGCAATTTATATCATTCTTCAACCGATTCGCAGCGATTCATTTTCGATAGGCTCAGGACGACTTGATTTTCACCCTCTATAAAACCAAAAATAGTGAAAAATGAAGCTCTATCAAACTGTTTTGTATTACCATCAACCCTNGCAAATTTCAAAGCGCATTTGCTAAAGAGAGGCTACCCAGAGGACCTCATTAGCACAACCCTCTCAGAAGTGAATTAAAAAACAGGAAATTAGCTCTTCAACAGAAACAAAAGACGAACCAGCGAATCTTGCCTTTTGTTACACAATACCAACCATCAGTGCCAAACCTAAAGCAAAATCTCATGAGACACTGGCATTTAATAGAAACACAAGCACTACTAAACGAAATATACAAAAATCAGTTTCTCGTATCTTACAAAAGAGGACGGTCGCCCAAAGACACTCAGTGGGGCCAAACTTTGAATAGGCTACTCTAAACACGCGGTGGGGAGTAGTGTAGGCCTGTCAACCCCATTTTATGTTGAATTCTCCCGGACAACATCTATGTCAAAAGATGGCAATCTTCTCCTTAAGTTCAACTGCCTCAACCTATTTTTCAATGTTCGTAAACACATCGTAATGCCATGAAACTTCGCTAAAAATTCAGTGATAGCTTCATACGTATATCCTCTTGCAAAGTAATATGAAATTATGCTCTCCTCCTCCGGATTATTGCTCACTGAACTTGAAGAAGCCATTTCAGATCAAACCACATGAACATGAACGGTACAAAATGGCGCCTTTTAATGACATTGACCTCAGCCAGTCCCAGGTTCCCGTTGCTTTTAGCGTCAGGGTTAGTTACCAGTACTCTTTGTTTTGTTTCTCTTAATTTTGTTGTGTTTTAGTTTGCGTTTGTTTATCAGAAAATTTTATTGTACTTTCGAAATTATTGTTGTGTATCAGGGATTTTCGTTGTGTTCTGAAAAATATTTAAGTGTTCTAAAAAATTATGTTCTGTTCTCGAAAATATTGTTTTGTTCTCGAAAAGATTGTTGTGTTCTCGAAAAGATTGTTTTGTTCTCGCAAAGATTGTTGTGTTCTCGAAAAGATTGCTGTGTTTCATAAAAGAAATTGAGTTATGTTTTGCCCCTATGGGCCACTGTAAATATGCGCGTACAAACGAGAAAACAAACAAAGGAAACAAATACAACCATGCGGCGGTAACACATGGTAACCAATGAAAAAACAATTTCCCTGAGTTGCACACAAGATTATGCATAGTTTTGGGATTTTAGGGGCCACAAAATTAAAATGGTCTCACACCCCCAGTTCCTATACTACTACAGAAATGGTGAAAATGCTAAGAATAAAATAATGGGTGCAAATTAATGCCCACTGGAAGCTTAATAGAAAAAGATATCGAAGAAGAAGAATTGTAAAAAAAAAAAAGAAAATAATACGAAAAAGAAAAAAAAAGTTATTGAGGAAGGCGGAATAAAACAACCCTGAAGTCAGTGTTTTGTGTAGAGCAAGTGCTAGCCTTTATTGTGTCTTTAAGTTATAGCATGAAAGTTTATGTTTGAAACAAAGAAGTGGATGAAAGCATTATACATACTTGGACAGTCTAACATATCCCTCTGCTAAACTTACCTTTCTTGCTTCCTGACGTCTTTCTATGATGAACTCATCAAGTTTTTCCTTCATTTCTTTCATTTCCAGGTTTTCTGTTCCCATTTCAACAGCATCTGCAATCTCCCAAAGCTTTTTGAAGTCCTCTACGTTGTCTCCTGCTGGTAACTGTGGTGATCCTGGGCCAGTTGGTTAAAAATGAAAAAGAGGATTATAGGGAGTCATATAAGGTTTGTGAATTATTATTATTAACATTTTATAGTTGTGAGACATTCCCTTAGTATGGGAAGAACCCTTTTTTTAGTTTTATTCTCATTATGTTTTCATTCATGGAGGGGTTGTAAAATAAAGTACAAATAACAGTGAACAAGTCGAAGGGTAAATACAGCCAAAATCGGAATCTCCGATAAAGGTCGTATTCCATGTCATATTTACTCCTTTGCTTGCAGTAGTAATCATTTAAAATATTCGTGTGCTGCAGGGATCTTTGCACGTTCGTAGAGAGAAAAAATTGTTTGACTTTTTTCAATATCTTGGTGGTCTGAACACGGAGAATTTCAAATAAATTTATTATATGATGATAATCAGGAAAAGTTTTGCAAGAAGGTTACCCTGCAGAAACTTAGTATTCAACTCGAACATTCGAAAATTAAAGGTGTAACTACTGTACGTGTTGTAAGAGCGAGTGGCCGATATGAACTTACTTTGGGATAAGGTCTCCGTGAACATTTTTCCTGGTGGAGTTAATTTTCCTACTGAGGATAAATGTGGTAACTGATCAGCGGGTACTGCAGATGCGTCCCATGGTGCAGATGCCCTTTCCTCACCAAGGAAGTCACTGTCTTGCGCTCCTCCGACGAGAGCACTCTCTGTTAACAGTGGTGATGTCTCTAAGTCATTCTTTTTTTCCGCGATCTTTTTTTCCGCGAAATTTTTGATGACCTTTTCAATCGCCTGGTGCACATCATCACCAGTCCTTTTTATGGCCTGGTGTACATCATCACCAGTCCTTTTTATGGCAGGGCGTATATCATCACCAGTCCTTTCCATGGCCTGGTGCACACCATCAAATCCCTCTTGGAGAGACTTTCCAACTTTCTTTATTTCCTCTTTGCATTCTACCTCATTTTCGTACATTTCCTTTAATTCTTTGGCATTATTCACTTCTCCAGGCGTTAGCGGATCTGTTAATAACTTTTCGATCTTTTTTTCCCATGCACTTTGGGCTGACAAACTTATCCTGCCTGCAAGTCTTACAAGAGCCTCTTGAATGTCGTTCCATAGCGATTTGAACTCGGTGTCGCCCATTTCCATGTCAGAGTAGTCGTGGGAAATTTTGTTGCGGTATTGTTTAATCCTTAGCAAATCAGCAGCTAAGGAATGGTCTGTTGGTGATGGAAAATTATCCCACCCACATGCCGGTGGAGTAAGGTTACAAATTGTTCTAAATAGTTTGAAAATGAAGCCGAATGTCGAAGTCTTTCGAAGACTTATTGCATGTCCCGGTTTTTGGAAAAAGGTAGTAAAATTGTGGCTTGGTAAGCTTGGCCTTCATAATCTTATTCTTAATGGAAGGATTATTTAGTTTCAAGACCAACTGAGAAGGGCTGCAAAACTGATCAAATAATTCTCGCATTATGGCTGTGCCTCCAGCCACCAAGAGTCTCGCAATCCGCTGGAAATTTTCCTTCTCGGGTGTTGAAAGAAGGACTTCATGTGATTCACCCTTTGGTGCAGCAGCCGCCATGTTGAACCTATCTTGAAGCTATGGTGAGATCATTACTTCTGCTTGGTTGATTTATGCGGATTCATATTGCTGAGTTGAACACTAAAACCAAGGAAAAATATTGAATCTAATATCACATTTGTGACAATAAACTAAATTTGATAATCCACTGGAAGGCACCTGAAATAAATATTATTTACATAGGTTCTCCACCCTGAACACTCTTCATTTCCTTTCATTCGAGGTATTAAATTGCCAAACTATATTGTTTAAACGTCTGAGTGATTGTGTTTTTGTTTCTCTCAAGCTACTTCCAAATCTATATCTTTTGTTACGTACACTTCCCTATCGTACGCGTTTTTAACTATTAATTTCTTTCCCTGATCAGTTAGGAAACGACTGTGAAAATTCCAATGAAGTCATCCAGCTCTAATGCTTCCTTGCAATTTTCGCTGTCAGTATCGAAACAATGGAAAATGTTTGTCTTTAAACTTTCAAATTAGTATAGAAAATTTAGCATAAAAGGTCATTGTACGCAGCCTCTATTGTTCAACAGTCAGCAGCAACATTTCGGCCTTATTGAATTCTCTATTCTGTTTGAAATCGATATAGAGCTATTGAAATATAAAGACCTGAGACATCATGGTCACTATGACATGAGCTTATCGATGACGGCCATCGATAAAAAACTTTATCGTTACTCTCGACGCATCTAGATAAGTCAAATTACCATAAACGAGCATTCCGAGAAACCACAAATTTACTCTGCCAACTTATTATACAATAACAAATGAATTAACAACAACGAACTGTACCACTCGTATTGCACTATAATTCCATTTTCAGCAAATGTTGCTAAAGAAATAATTGTTGCAACAATATTAGCTGATATGCCGACGAACTATTTAGAAACCTCCTCTCTGTAATGATTATTCATGCAGTAGTGAAGGCCTCCATTTAAGTGAGCATTTCACAACAAGACATATATTTTCACTGAAGATTCCAAACTCCAGTTATGTCTTTCTGTGAGTTATATTCTACACAAAATATCAAAGTTATTGTTCCTGCTAATTGAGAAGTAATGTGAAATGAGAAATTGCTTTATTCGCTCTGATCGTAAGTGTTTTGTGTAACTTCATAACAATAGCAATGGAATCCAAGAGCCCAAGATTTTTTTATGATTGAATAAGATTGTACCACTGAATAGAGTCAGTAAAAATAAGATTGTTTCTTGCTTAAACGAATTTTCGGTAGAAAAACTGGTGCAATATTTGAGGGACAGTTTAAAATCTCCCAGACATGTTTCATTGACGTCCTTTAGATGAATAAATAATCTGTCGCGAATTCACATTAGGATTTCAGCTCTTTGATACCATTTACACGGGAAACTTGCATGATGCCGTCCCTTAAGCACCAGGAAATAACTCCAAAGAAAATCTCACCTTCTTCGAAGATAGCGAAGCTATTTCCACCTCATACTTCCATATCCGACGTTATTCCGGCCTAAAAATAGGTGCGGTTGTGAAGCTTTCCGGCCTCAATTAAGGGCCAAGTCGCACAAGAGGACAAAACTGTTTATTTATGTCAAAAATCTGTCATCACAATGAAAAACCAAGTGCGACCGGTTTGTTCACCAATGGACAAAATTTGGTCGCGGGCGGACAAACTTCAAAGATGCCGTCGACTACCTCTGGAGCAGGCCACATTGAGACAAATTTTGGAAAACAATAGCGAGGGTGTTTTAATTCGGAAATGATTTGACAGGTGATATGTAGCAAAGTCTCTATGCTATAGACTTCGCGGGAAAATTGGTCACGTTCTCATTTCGCAACAACATGAATCCAGGCACGGGCAACCAATACTTTCCGTATGAAATGGGGCAACGATATCCTCAATATCCACCAGGATGGATATATCCGTTGTCTAGCACTTACAATTTTAATGATCGAGGAACTGCACGCCCATCTCCTTCAACCGCAAGTTCTGGCTCGTTGTCAGAATCCTTTCCGTTCGTCGAAGACTGCTCAATGCCGGAATCATCCCAAACCTCTTCGCGCCGTACATCTTCCGAGAACAAGAAGGCCCAGGAACGATGGACTAAAGATGAGGAAAAACTGTTAAAACAACTATGGGCTGAAGAACACGATCAGTTGGAAAGCAGAGAGTGCAGGAAAACGTGGGCCTGGATCACTGAGAAGATTTCGAAAGCGCTACAGTCCAACAAGACGGCCGACAAATGTATTCGGAAAATGAAGTACATCATAGAAAGATACAAGAATGCAAAAGATTGGAACAAAAACCAAACAGGAGGAAACCTTAGGAAATCCGTCTACTACGATGAGGTCGATAAGATCCTTGGATGCCGCGACCTAGTAACCTTCAATAATGTAGCCGAAGCGGGGATCAGCGGCAAAAGTGCCCCCCAAGTTGTAGCTGAATCAAGTGATACTACTGGCGAGAACAGTACTTCATCTAGCCCCAATGTGCTACAAACTCCAGCTGAAAAGAGAAGAGCGTCAAAGAAAGGGAAACGAGCTTCGAAACGCAAAGCTCCTGATAATGACAGCGACGAAGAGTTCAAGATGGCTCTAAAGGATATGAGACAGCAGGGGGAGAAAGTTACAGCATTTATGGATTCTTTCCAACAATCACAGACGCAGCAGCTAGCCATGATGAACCAATTTATGGGCTCCATTGTGAAAATCCTTGGCCAACAGAATGAGAAAGACAACTGAATTTTAATTCAAGACTGTTTTGGACTATTGGGAGACAATCATTATCGACCATTATCAAAAGACATGTTATTGTTTATGTTGCGAATCGATCAAACGAAATTATGGAAACAAATGAATGTACTGCTTGAACTGATTTCTTGTTGTAAATGCAAAAATTATCTTTATCACACACTTCTCTTTAAAAAGGGATTTGAAGAATCATAGACTGTTTTTTAGCAACTCTCTTATATCTTCCCCGTCCTGCATTAAGTCATTGTTCTGTTCGTTTCCGCGGTCATCATCGTCATCGTAAAAATCATCCTCCCATTCGTCCCCAATTTTAATGCAAAAGTTATGCAGCACTGCACAAGCAATGGCAATCTTCACAGAAAAAGTTATTCTGCTATCCAACCG